CAAAAATTCACGACGTGAGGAGTCAACAGACACTAATCGGAGCTAGAAAACAAGCGTTAAGGCTATGGGGTGACTCATGGAAGTTCACGACGTGAACCTATCATGTTCACGACGTGAATGGCCCCAGAACACCCTATAAATAGCGATCAAAGCTCATTCAATCCTTACACCTTCTCCTTTCATTCTCTCTCGTTTCCGAAGGCCGTTTTCCCTTCCCGAGCCTGACAATGACGAGCCTCTGACCGTTTAGATTCTATAATCACGCTACTAAGGTGAGTTTCACAGCCCCACTTTCTAATATTTTCGGGGGAAAACGCATGCTAAATATTATATATACGTTATTATTATGTCTATATGATAGTATCTTAGTATCAACGTAGATAGTTATAATAACCGGGATATAGTTATTTCATATTTGAAAGTATACAACTATCGTAAAGTTGTTAGCATGTTATTGTTATAGTAGTGTACTAATGTAGATCTTGAGTTATACTTAGGATTCTATATATATTATGTGTGCGATATAGTTCCAGAGTTATACTCGGAAGTTCTATATGTTAATTGATAAATATGTTGTTATTATTGGTTTTATGTCAAGATAAAACCATGTATGTTATATGTTGTTGTTATTGGTTTTATGTCAAGATAAAACTGGATATGTTATATGTTGTTATTGTTAGTTTTATGTTAAGATAAAACTTAGTATTGCTATTGATAGTTTTATGTCAAGATAAAACTAGGAACGTTATATGTTGTTATTATTGGTTTTAGGTAAATATAAAACCTGGTTTTACTCCAAGATATAGCTGTTATACTGCCTAAATGTTATGAAGTTAGGAGTAATGTTTAAAAGCATAGTCTAGTGACTTAGGGTTTTAGACATGAAAATGCTTTTGTTGTTATAGCTATAGGAAGCCGTCAAAGTATACATGAGCTACCTCATTCATCAACTAAGATTGGGGATCTTAGTGGAAGTCCTCTGACCTGTAACCGTTAATCCCGTGTGAGCGAGGAAGTCGTGTATGACTAAGATACGGGTTGACGACCCCACTCGTGTTTGTTAATTACAACCCAAGACAAGCGAGTGACGATTCGTTCCTTTTATTTTTATTCCGACGTCGACGAAGCGCGCGGTGTTGTTTCTCATGGTAAATCATGAGTGTATTGTTTCTCATGGTAAATCATGAGTGTATTGTTTTGTCAGAGGTTTTGTTGTCAATCAGCGGTTACAGACTCATGGTAGCAAATTGTTAGAATCATTATACTTTGTCGTTATACAAGTATTAATGTTAAGTATAAGTTTCCCCCTAGTTATACCCTAGGTACTACTTGTATATTAAGTAGATAATTATACCTAACACACATACTCGTATAGAATTGAAATAGATTTATACGTAGCGGTTTTACTCGTATAGAATTGAAATAAGATTTATACGTAGCAACTTTCGTTTGTATGGAATTACAAACACTTATATTCATAGTATATGAGACTTATAGGTAAACTACTTATTTGGTAAGTAAACTTTTATACCTAGGATATATATACTAAACGTTGGAGAGTCAAAATGATACTTTCAAAACTATACTTTTGAACTTGGAAAATGTATTATTTTTATATGGAGTCAAAACATGTGGACTCACCAACTTTATGTTGACGTATTTTTAAATTGCATGTGTTTTCAGGAAGTTGATAACTATGATACGAGAAATGACGTTACACTGCCCGGTGTTTCCGCCGACGGCCGGGGTATGACACAAGATGAGGAAGAAGATGATCGTCAATTTAGAGTTCAGAAAGCATAAAGCTTTCTTGGGATGAAATGAGGGTATTTATGCCTCTGGATTTGAAAAAGGAATCCGAAAATAAAAGTTTTAACAACTGTAAAAACCAAAGATTTCTACCTTTCAGATTATTTTAAAAGAAAAGTATTTATCTGGAAATAACTCGCATTAAATGCAGTTAAGGGGCACATTAAATGAATTTGATGATGAAGTGGGTAAACGTGGGGTAATGTTTAAAACAACTGTCATAATGTGCCAGAGTTAATGGATTACTTTTTGTCTGATGGTTGAGTATGGACCAATCACCTCACAAAATGTTTGGTAAATTACCTTTTATTGAAAAGACGAATATTCACTTTATTTTAAAAGGAAAGCAGATACGGTTTTTTGAAAAGATACTATTTATCGTTTAAACAAATTTAATGAAAAGGAATAAAAACATTCATAACGTTTTTCTGATTCATTAAATATCACACCTTTAAAAAACTTTATTTATTGCCAAACAGAAAAACAAGACTTCAGGTTCTTGAAGGAAGAATTATGGTATGTCAGATGATAGAGACTATGGAATCATGAGCACTGTAGGGTAACTTGATCACAAGGTTAGACATACAAACAATAAATTGACCCAGAGAGTACGTATATCATAAATAGTCTTCGGTAACAAAGGGTAATGAGGAGGCATTTATGAAATATGTGCTCCATAGTTAAACTTAAAAGAAATAGATTTTACACGATAGACAAATATATATGCTCAAAGATCAAACGGCAAGATAAATGAAACATATCCATTTGTTAGATGCGAAGACTTGATGTCTTCACAATTTATAATTTTAAGAAAAACTAAGGATCATGATTCATCATTCCTAACATTTCTAGGAATCCGTTAAGTTTTGTGGAATCAAGTGCTTTTGTGAAAACATCTACTATTTCTTCATGAGATGGAACAAATATAATTTCAATGTTACCTTTCAAGATACGATCCTTTGAGTGCTGAATTGGATTATGAGAAATAGAAATTGCACACTTTGAGTCAATGTAGATAGGTATTTATAACATTATATAACCATAATCCTTGAGTTATGTTTTCATCCAGAGAAATTAAGAGTTGTACGGTGGAGAATGAGACACAAATTTGTTTTCTAGAAATCCAACTCACCAATCTCCCACCGAGGAATTGAAATCCTACTAAAGTTCTCTTGCGGTCTAATCAACAACCCGCATGGTCTGAGTCTGTAAAGGCTTGCAGACTGAAGTTGTTTCGTACTGGGTACCAAAGAGCTAAAGTTTTAGTCCCTTTGAGGTATCTGAAAATCTGTTTGGCTGCATTCAGATGAGAAACCTTGGGATCAACTTGATATCTGGCAGAAAAACTCATTGCGAAGACGATATCCTGTCTAATTCTTGTCAGGTACAGTAGAGAACCAATCATTCCTCGGTATACCTTTTAATCAACTGACTCTCCGATGGGATCTACAGTGATATTGTATCTAAAGACCGTATGAACCTTTGTTGAGGAGCAGTTATCCATAAATTATTTCTTTTACAATTATGTGGTATACTTTTCTTGATGAATGAAGATTCATTTAGGGACTTTCTTGATTTGAAGACCAAGAAGGAAGTTAATATATCTACTCATGATCATTTGAAACTTGTTGGTCATGAACTTGGCAAAGTCGTCTACCATAACTAGATCATATGAACCGAAAATGATGTCATCCACGTAGATTTGTACAAGCATTAGATGCTTTTCACTTGAAATTTGAAAGAGTATAGGATCAATGACCTCGCGTTTGTATCCAGACTCGATAAGAAACGTAGAAAGAGTTTCATACCAAGCTCTTGGTGTCTGCTTTAAGCCGTACACAGCTTTCTCCAATTTGTAACAGTAATGAGGAAGATCAAGATTCTCAAAACCTGGAGGTTGTTGTAAGTATACCTCTTATTTCATTTCTCCATTGAGGAAAGCGCTTTTTACATCCATTTGTTGTACTTTGACATTCTTATGTGCCACATATGCCAAGAAGATGCATATAGCCTCAAGCCTTGCAACTGGATCATATGTTTCGTCGTAGTCAATTCCTTCCAATTGATTGTAACCATTTGCTACAATTCGGGCTTCATTTCTGATTACTACATTAGAGTCATCCAATTTGTTGCGAAATACCCAACGAGTTCCAACTACGGTATGCGAATTTGGTTTGGGGACCAATTTCCATACTTTGTTTCTTTCAAAATCTGCAAGCTCTTCTTGCATTGCAATGATCCAATCATGATCCAGAAGTGCATCTTTGATGGTTCTAGGCTCCATAGAGGACACGAAAAATGCATACTGACATTTTTAGTTAAATCATTAGAAGAGCGAGTACGTATACCTGCATAAGGACTTCCTATTATTTGGTCGGGCGGATGATCTTTTGTCGAAATGTGTAGACCTGATTGATAATGTTCAACAACTACATTAGATGGATTATTTTCAACTTCGTGAGGTGGTTCTATTTCAACATGTTGAACATGTTCCTGCTCGATTTGCGAACATCTTGCAGATTGGTCTTAAGTGGGTTGCTCTGCTGAAGGTGAAGGTCCCCCTTACGAAGTTTGATGGTTCCCATAGACCGAAGGAGTGGCAATTATGGGAACTTCGCGAACTTCACATGTTTCTATATCTTCAATATCATCTTTTGATTCTTCAGATTCTCCAGATTTTCTTGATCGATTGGTATCGACTACTGGAATGTCTTCGTCTATGAGTGGAATCTTAAGATACTAAAGGTCCAGAGTCTTCGGTATGTTGCAGTTCCACAGAAGGAGAGTGATACAGATCCTAATATGGTAGTTAAAAGGGAAAATGAATCAAAGCTGCTACAGGATTATTCTGGAAGAAGTAATAAGGGTAAATCTGGAAAATGGCTAAGATCTGTTAGAGAGAGAGAGAGAGAGTAATAAATAGGTAGGAATGATTTCATTTGTAGGCATTCAGATATTTTGGGTGATAGTGATACTCTTGTATCGGCTCAAGCCTTGTGGCTGTGAGAGAGGGGTTTCCCTAGAACAATCTCTTGATTGTGTTTCATTGTCAATCTATTTCATCTTCTTTCTTACAATTCTTCTTTGTATCATTCAATTTCATTAAACCCTAATTTCTGTTCTTCATCATTGGTCCGACCTGCTACGACCTGCCTTTGTTCACCATGTTCAATATCAATGAGTTTCACCAAATGATGGCTCGTGAACGGGAAGAAGAAATAGCATTCCGAAAAGCGATGTTGACTTGGATGAAACAACAGGATCCTGAGTTTTTCTCTGATATTAGCAGTTTTCCAGATTCGATCGTGACGTTACTAGAACCGGTGGTTGATGATGCTCCTGGGGATACGTCTTTTGGAATTTCAGATTCCTCATGTACTTCTCCGGTCACCCATGTTCCTATGAGTGAGGGTTTTGTGTGTTTCTCCGGTGGCAATTCCACTCCGAATACATCAGAAGAAGAGGTGGAGAGTTTTCCATGGGTAGTGAAGAATAAGAAATTAGCAGAGTTCAATGGTTATGATATTTCTCTAGTCACTCCTGAACCGGTGATCGAGTGTTCCGAGTGTTTATCGGATGATAATTCCATCCCGAAATCATCAGAGCTAGTGGAGAGCTTGCCAGAAACAGTGAAGAAGATTTATTACTAAGAGCAGATTCAGAACACGAATCTCCACTTCGAGATTAATGGTACTTCTCCTAACTCTCTTCTTCGTCGTCTCCAATTAAGCGTAACAGGGTCTAGGCAACATGGGTGGAATTCAACATCTGCATTGGATTTGGGTGATGACGGTCATGACTGCCTTGACACAGAGTTGGAAAGGGATTCCAAAACACCACCGCCGTTTCTGATACCACCATCACCACCGCCATCTCCACCTCCATGGTTCGAGACTAGTGTCAAGGGTGCAGGTCGGAAACAGGAAAAACCAAACAAGTTTTTGAGCTTAATCCTCCGTGACAGGGAGAATTCCGATGGGGAAGTTCCGGGAGCAGAAAAATCGGTGATAGAAGAGCAGCGTGCAACGGATTTCCATGTCGAGAGGCTGACAGAGCATCAACGGAGCACATGGGAGAAAGCGGCTCCGTTTAACAACCGTTTAGAATGGGGTTATCTAGGTTACCCTTCCAATGGGCTTAAAAATGACAATTGGGCTGAAATTGATTCATGGGGCTCACAATTGTTGAATGGAAAGATAGACTTGGTTTTAATGAGCAAACAAAATATAAGCCCACTAGTTAATTGGAATGAAAATAACGACGTTTATCATAATCAACTGCCATCACCGTCCCCAACGCCGGCAATGGCTTACGTGTTTCAACGGGATCGGAGAGTTAGATCGTCGAGTCGTACGGAATGGAAGGAACAAAAGAAGAAGGGTCTAAGTTTAAATGGTGGTTCTCAAGTCGGCTTGTCTCACAAATGTCATAAATGCAAAGAAGACTGCAATCATTATTCGTGGGATGCTAATCAGGTACTAATTGATCAATTGTCAAAGAAGGCTTCTATTGGATCGTGTCAAATTTTGGAGTTCGTTGGAGTTGTGGCTAATTCTCAATCAATAGACATGATTTCAATAATGGAATTGTTGCTTTCTTTAAGTGAGATGACATACAATTGGGACAAGGCATGGATGAAATTTATGTATAACGGTATAGCGTTTCATTTTCAAAGGTTAATCACGGGCCAGCAGGTTCAAGCATCGTTGCAACAATGGTTGGGCACACTTCAAGGTGGGGTACGGTTCCAAGAAATGATGAAAGAAGGGCAAGAATGGGATGATTTTTTGAAGAAGTCCAACGTGCATTCTGGTTTAAGTTTCTTTTTACCTCCTGATATGAAAACTGGTTTAAGTTTTGTTTTCTTGGTTACTTGTGCGTTTGAGAATCGATTGGACCAAATACACAATTGGTTAATCCAGTGGAAGGGTCGACCGGATGGAGAAGCTACAAGAAAGGTTGTGTTGAATATCATGAGTCAATTTAAAGAAGCAAGTCTTGAGGACAAGACTTGTTTTGAAGGCGTGAGTAATGATACAGATCCTAATATGGTAGTTAAAAGGGAAAAATGAATCAAAGCTGCTACAGGATTATTCTGGAAGAAGTAATAAGGGTAAATTTGGAAAATGGCTAAGATCTGTTAGAGAGAGAGAGAGAGTAATAAATAGGTAGGAATGATTACATTTGTAGGCATTCAGATATTTTGGGTGATAGTGATACTCTTGTATCGGCTCAAGCCTTGTGGTTGTGAGAGAGGGGTTTCCCTGGAACAATCTCTTGATTGTGTTTCATTGTCAATCTATTTCATCTTCTTTCTTACAATTCTTCTTTGTATCATTCAATTTCATTAAACCCTAATTCCTTTTCTTCATCAGAGAGACTAAGACTTCAGATAGTCTTTCAACTTCTAGAGGATCAAATAGTGAGTTATAGTTGACTTCTATGATGTTGAAAGGTCTACACTGGATTGGAATGTCATTCCCCCATGATTTTTTTTTCAATGAGAGGAGCGGTCTTACGGACATAAAAATCATCAAATTTCACGTCAAAGCTTTCTTCTATAATTTTTGTTCTTCGGATCAGAACTCTATATGCCACTTTGCTTGTAGAATATCCCAAAAAAATTCCTTCGTCTGATTTTTTGGGTGCAAATTTGCTCAGATGCTCCTTGTTGTTAACAACAAAACACTTGCAACCAAAAATGTGAAAGAAACGAACATTTGGTTTACGATTGTTCAAACCTTCATATGGTGTCTTGTTGAAGCGTTTAGTGATGATGTTGCAGTTTTGTATGAAGCATGCTGTTGAGACTGCTTTTACCCAAAAGTAGAGAGGTAGGTTTGCGATGTTGAGCATTGATCTGATAGCTTCTACGAGAGTTATGTTCCTTCTTTCTACCATGTCATTCTGCTGCGGTGTGTATGGTGCCCAAAAGTTATGATTAATTCCATTTGACACCAAGAAGTCGTTGAGAAATAAATTTGTAAATTTAGTTCCGTTGTAACTTCAAATTTTTCGAATGGGAATCTTGGTTTGTAACTTAATTTTCTTGATGAAGTTGATTAAGGTCTATGGTGTCTCCGATTTAAGTCTCAAGAAACACACCCAAGTGAATCCAGTGTAATCATCTACTATGACTAGATTGTATTTCTTATGATGTAGACTTGCCACAGTTGATGGACCACAACGATCTATATAAAGTAATTCTAAAGTTTCAGCAATAGATGAATCAAGTATCAACGGATGACTTCCCTTTATTTTTTTTCCACACTCACAAGCAGAGCATAAAGTGTAATTTTCAAATTTGAGGAGAGGAAATCCTCACACCATCTCTCCGGTAACAAGGTTGTTGATATACCAAAAGATGAGGTGAGCAAGTTTCCAGTGCCAGAGCAAACTGACCTTGGAGGCTGCTTTTGATAGAAAACACAGTTATGGTTTACTGATGACTAAAGCTATGTTTAATGGGAAAATTGTTCCAGTAGCCTTTGATTTAATTAGACATTGTCACACCCCTCTAAAGCAGAAACACGAGGCGTGACAGTATAAAGGGTTTCATAGCAAAAGTTAAAAGACAACACCAACCATAGTATTAAAAATCATTACAAATTTATAATGGGTTTGAACAACTTTTAAAAGAAATTACAATGTAAATTGAAATACAACACATGCGAATGTTCCTAAAAGTGATGTGTCCCTAAGTGCCACTTACTCGATGATTCCTGAAAAAGCATGTAAAACGAGCGTCAACTATAAAAATAGTTGGTGAGTACTCACAGATAAAAAATAATAATAATATTGGTTTCATGAATCGAAATCAAAGTTTTGATAAAAGTTTTCATAAATAGAAATATATTGCAAAAATGAGTATTAAGTTTGCATAAACAAAGTTCGTTGTTGTAAAGAGAAACAAAGTTCATTGCTATAATTAATAAACAAGTTTATTGCCATAATAAATAACAAGTTTGTATGTATGTTTTCAGTAATGAAAGTTCATTGTTATAATGAGATACAAAGCTTATTGCTATAATAAGTAACGAGTTTGTCTGTGTATGAGCAAACAATGAGTTCCCAACCAAGCCTATGACTGATGCCCTATCAAGATCTATGGTTGTCGTTCCATAGATTATATGGTATCATGCACTCCAGCAATCGGGCGAGTGAGGAGTTGTCAAATGCTAATAGCGCTATCCATAATGACCATTGGCTCAAAGAGTTAATGGTTGTAGTAAAGTGTAAATGAAGGGACTTAAGACGATAAGTTCTCATGTTTCGTGTTGCATAGACATACATAGAGAAATATAGCAATAAAATAGCAATCAAGTTTGATACAAATCAATTTAAATACAACGAACAAATAATAGTTTTTCGGACATGCTTTTCCACCCCAAAACATAAAAACCGAAAATAGGGAGTCGTGAATACTCACTATGCATTGAGATGATGCAAATTGTGCCTTGAACTACTCTCCACTCGTACCACTATCGTTTTCCTACAACGATGTCACACACTAATGAGTCTCTAATAGAAAGCTAACACTAGTATATTTGCTACTACAATAGAATTATGCCAATATTGTGTCAAAATTTAATATTGATAAGTTACAAACATTTTTCTGAAATGGTGAAGTTTTATAACTCGTGTGATTAAGACAATTTTGGATATTAATTTTCCAGATTTTGGTAATACAATTGAGGGTATTTCAACACATTTAAATGTGTTTTAAGCTCTTAAAAAGCCAAAAATATTATCAAACAGTTTCCAAAAAATCTCAAACTTTGCATTTTGATTCTAAACACAGTAGAGGCCTTCCATAGATTTTCCTTTGATATTTTGATATGATTAACTATTTTTCCAAAATTTTAAGCCTTCATAACAATATAAATTCGTGAAAAATAGTATCCAAATGATAAAAATTCCCTAACTTTTTATGATACTGCCACTAGACATACTTAAGCTGGGAAAAATATAAAAATGGATTTTAAAACTGTTTAACCCAATTTTATAATTTTTGTGCATTTATTCTAATAAAAATTGAAATAAATATAAAACAGTTTCCAAAATTTCCCAAACTTTTTGTATTACTGTTATGAAACCTTATTAAGCTGGGAAAAATATTAAAATAGATTTCTAAACTGTTTACCCGAATTTTATGATTTTTGTTCATTTATTCTAATAAAAATTGAAATAAATAGAAAACTGTTTCTAAAATTGCCCAAACTTTTTGTAACACTGTTATTATACATGTAGAAGTTGTGGTCATCCACGAATTTACCTAGGATTTATAGACCTCAGAAAGTATTTTATATGATTTATTGCCCTATTTTATTGCAATAATTATAATAATTCGAGAAAAATGAATTATTTTCGGAAAATTTGTAGAACATCTCATTTTGTTGGTGGAATATAGGGAAAAATCGGATTTTATCAGAAAAGTTGTTTAGATATTTATTTGAGAATAAATCCTTTATAAACCTATTTGAAAGCTTTTTAACAACAAACTTTGATCATCAAGCATCTAAGCTTGAAGATCATCACATGCATGTTGGTTTGAAGACCATTCATGAGTTTGAAATGTTCAAAAACCGTTTTTGATAGAAAACTTTGAATGCATGTGGTGTTTTTCACCCAAAACTTGTAGAAAAAGTGCATTATGTTGATTTTGACTTAGGTTTTGGTCATTGGATTTCACCATTTACAACATGCATGTTGTTTTTGGGTGAAATCCTACCACCATCATCATCAAAACCGTGAGTTTGAGCAATTGTTCATGATTTTACCATAGAATGGAGTAGAAGAAGGAGAAAGTGTAAGAAAAACCTTTAAAACTAGAAAGAAAAGTGAAGGAAAGTAAAGGATTTTCGTGTCTACCTTTAAGAATAACATCAAATGATAAAGATTTTTGTGCTTGAGAAGTGTTCTTGGCTGTATAATTTTAGTGAGTTTAGAGAGAGATTTGAGAGAAATGAGTGGAGTGGGTGTTAGAGAGTGAGAGAGAGTGAAGAGGGGAAGATGGAGTGTGAGGGTGAAGTGAATGATTAAATTTTTTGGGAAGAGGGTGCCTAGGAAAGAGGGGGGACGAATTTTGATGAGGAGAGAGGTTCCCTCACTCTTCCATTTTTATAAAATTCCAATTATTTTATAAAAACACCAAATTTTTATAAAATATGCACCTTTATATAGTTTTTACTCATAAAATATTGATTTTTGACTTATAAATTAAGGGTAAATGTTAATCACTTAAATTTTTATTTTCCTTGATTATATTTCCTTGAATTTAATTATTTTAAGATAATATTATAAGTTTCATAAATTTTTTTATAAAATTCTTGATGTTAAACTTTATAAAATTTAGGTTTTAGGGCTTTTAGGGTTTTCGAGTTTAATAAACTTTGAATATCAAAATAAATTGAATATATGAGATTTCAAATTATCTTATGGTATTATAACTCTTTTATAGTTATAAATAATGTTTGTAATTTATTTTTATCGGTTTATTGGCATTCTATGTAGTGATTCCGAGAATCAAGCGAAATTGAGGAATCAAGTATACTAGTCCTAGTTTTCAACTCTGACTTAAGTTCGAACGAGACTAGGACCTAATTTCAAGTGAAATCTAAGTATACGATTTCATGAAAAGGTGTTCGAACGAGACTTAAGTTCGAACGAGACTAGGTCAAGTGCATGATATGTGTATATGATTCATGAAAAGGTGTTCGAGTCAAAGAGTGACCTAAATATGGATATTCACTACAGTTAAGTAGTTGTAGAATTCACATATCAATGTGAAATCTAAGTATACTATCCATTGATTCTAATTGTTTCCAAGTTTCTAGTAGGTTATAACTTAGTTTCTAGTTACTAAGTCTATTATGTGTCGTGCCTACACGTACAACTAAGTTTATCAAATCTAAAACCGACTCGAATTTTGACGGTTGTCACAGTCTCCCCCGGTTGAATGAATTTCGTTCTGAAATTCAATTCGTGACGTATTCTATTAGAACTTAGCCGAATATAGTTGTATAGCTGGAGAGGTGGTGACTTGAAAGGCTCTTTGATTATATTGGGTTAA